CCATGGCTCTGTCCTGCTCCCTGTTGGGGCCCTGAAGCCACTCCTGGCCCCAGGCCTCAAGCCCTATGCACTGCTCCAACTGGGCAGCAGCAGCAGCCACAGCCCCAGCCCTGCCCAACTGCCTCCCTCCCTGTGGGGATCTCAAAACCCACCCCCTCCCCTGGCAGACTTACCTGCAGGGCAGCCATAGCAGCCATGTGCATGCATATGTGTGCACATGCACATGGCACCCCCAGCCTAACTGCCCTCCTCCTGCTCCCCCCAGCCCCTTGCAGCCTGGAACTCTGCCAGCCTGCAGAGAGCTCTTTGCAAAAGTGGAAAATCTATGTGTTTTTCCATTAAAATGAGAAGTCCGCATTTTTCTCAGTTAAAAGAAAAAAAATTCATGTTTGTTTTTATTTTTCCATGGGAAATGGAAAACCTGGATCCCTGGTTATTGCCCATCTGGAAACAATGTAGACACATCCTCACAGCTCTACACCAAAGCACTGATAAATAACCTGCCCTCTGTGCTGTGCCAGAAGGTATGCTGCTTCTAGCTGGGGAAAGGATAGTATTTGGAAAAAAAACAGTATGGTGTACTTGAGAGCACTGCTGCCAGGGGCAGTAAGTTTGCAGCCTAGATATGGCCAGAATAAGGTGTATTTCACACTACCATTAGAAAAGTACCCTAAAAGCCTACCATATTTATCGCTTAAGTCCCATTTCAGCCCTATTTTGCCAGACTTATGCAATGAATAGGCCTTGTGCTGGGCCTCTTGCATAGGAGTCTAAAATTCATCTTAAAGTCTCAGTTTCAAAAGGGAAAGGAAACTGCCTGTTGGGAACAAACATCTTCACTGTAAGCTACAGGTGCATAGGACTGGTAGAGAGAAACGTTTTGAAAGGTGGACATATGAACTTTAAAACAAAAAAAATCAAGCACTTTTACATAGCACATTCCCCCCACCAAGATTTTATTACAAGTGCCATTAGATAGAGTAATCACCTAAATGCACATGATAACAACACATTCTAATAATTATGTGATTACGTATCATGGTATGATTAGAAGGAATTCCATAAAATCCTTTAGGTATATAATGATGGGCTACAAAATATTTTGAAGTTGAACATCTAAAAATTAGCAGACTAAAATAAAACTCAGAAAAAATAAGTTTAATCTTAGTTCTCAAACTTTGGACTACCAAACAAGTAATTCCATTGGCTGAACGATACCACAAGGTTGTTTCTACTTTGAAATAATAGTAAAAACATTTGCATTTGAGACACCAGTGTACCATCACTGATAGCAAAAAATGACTATTAAGGTGGGAGCCACCATTCTATCCAGCTAACCATTAACACTTGGCCATCCCATATCCACATGGTTTTTATCTGCTATTCTAACCCTTATGCTTTGGTAAATCAAGCAATGTCTTCTACACTCTCCTGCCCTGTCCCACAGTGTGGAAGTAATGACAATTTTCTTTATTTCCTGGGAAGTCTCAACAGGGTAGAATTAGGAGGGGGTTAATAGTTTTCTGTGTTATTGCATATTTTTATATTTGGTTCAATAGTTTTTAACTTATTTCAAACCAGCGAGAAATTTAGCATGCTTTTTTATTAGCTCTTCATTACCAACAATAACAGTAGGCAATAGAAATCATAGAGTTTCTGTTTTTTAGCTTATTTTTTTCCCTTTTCTGATGAGAGAGAGAGAGAGAGAGAGAGGCATATAGGGATGGATACTGCCACCTTTATTTAGGGTACTAGAATCTCACTCTGCAACCTACTCTAATCTGGCTACATATTTCTTAAGTGAACATACTAGACACTGTGTTTCCATGATGAGAAATGCAAATCAGGCCTTCCTATTCTGCCTGGAATGCCCTTCTGTACTCTTTCAAATTCTTCCTTAAGAATATGTATTTTCTGCAAGGTGTATCAGCAAGGAAGCTGCTCGATTACTTGAAAAGCTGCACTGCTTCCTGATACAGCCACTTTCTTTGTATCTGTCACATAATAGCTGAGTTGTCCAGCATGGCTAATTCTTACTATTTTATCACAACTCTCATGGTATTTGGTGTTTTTCCTTAAAGTCCCATCTCTTAGAGACATGTCATTATGTCAGAATCTCTGTTTCCATTAAAAAAAAAAAGACATTTCTGGCTTCAGTGCTTGTGGAGAAAAGTCGGAAAATGTGAACTATAAATGCTTTAAACAAGAAGCCAAATAAAAGCTCTAAAATGTATTATTCTAAAAGATCATGATATTCTAAAATTTCATCTCAATTTTCATCACCTGACTCAAATGTTTTTGAATTTTCACTATTGCTTGTCTGTTTAGGCACTAAGTTTCTAGTTCAATTTCTAGTTCTAGTTTCTAGAATAGATCTTATCTGACTGTCTCTTTGGAAATGTCTCAGCAAACAATAAAATCTGTAACTCATTATTTTCATGAGTTCTTCTATCCCTGAACTCCTCTCAGAAGTTTGAAGTACAAGTTTAATACAATTGATTATATGCAGTTCAATTGTCCACAAATATCATTTAGGTCTTGTAATGATATCTTACTGGATAGAAGTGGACCTGTTTGAATTTACAGCACTTGGCTCTCTAAACACCATGCTTGGAGTACATTTCAGTAAATTTGTTGAATGGGACCTAGCTTACTTATGGAATATACACCTGGTCTTCATACTGCTTTTGCATGTTGGAACCCAAATTGACTCTCACCAATTATATATAATGCTGTTGTTGCTAAGAAGGACTAGGTTTTGTTCTGGTTCATTTCTTATTTTATTACTAGTAAATTAAAACAACAAAGGAGAAAGAAATAGAACAGACTGAAACCTTGAATTTCTGTTCTATTGAAATTTTGAAATTTGCTTTCATTCCAAAATGGAACAAAAACATGTTCAAAATGTCTAGTTCAGTAATAGTAATGCATAATATTACTTGCCAATTTATATTAAGTTATGCTGTGACTTATCATTGACTTATGACCAATATGCTATGAAATAATGGGTCAATAATTAAAGTAGTATAAAAATGAAACAACACAAATGCTTCCACACTGAAAAATATTTAATTTAATTTTTTTTAGAGGAAATGTCATCAGCACTGATATGATTTCACAAAAACACCTTGGTTGTATCAAAATGGCATTTTCTAGCAAACCTGCTAAGATTAGGATTTTCTAACTAGTTCTAGGCAGAAACACAACTCCTCAATGAACTTCTACGTCAATCCCAAATTGCACAATAATCACAATCGTCAAACCACCCAGTGGAACATCCTGTTAATGCTCCACTGCAAATGTCTTTCCAGTTTGAGCACTCATCCTGCTGCCATTTGACCTGGGCCCTGGACCAGTGCCACTTTGCAACCTTTATGCTGTATTAGCTATTTTATTTTCCTGCCTGTTTCTCATAAGAAGTAACTCATTTCCTGTTTTGTAACAGAGAAAGGAAGTCTGCGCACTCAGCATGCAAGTTCTGGTTACCTTCATGCAGCCTGAGGTAGACCCTATCAAAGGAATGGTTTGACTAGTAAGTGAAGAAAGGGAGGAAGAAAATTGAAATTATCATACAAAGAAGCTCTTTAAACATCTGAAAATGAAAAAAACTCACCATCAGTTCACAGAGCCATGTAAACAAATGTAAAGTCTAGTGCCACAATAGTCTCCTGCATAGGTGCCAACTTTGTTTTTTGCTGGTGGGTGCTTGTGGACATACCCCCCCACAAAAGGCACTTTAGTTTAAATGTAGCATGCTCCTGAGCCCTCTGCATGGCCAGAAGACGTAGTGCATTACTTCAACCTGGCTCTGGCACCAGCATCTGTAAAGATCAAGTGCTTTAGTGGGGCTTTTTTGGCATTTTTATCTAATAGCTGATTGAATGAGCTTTAGCTAAAAGTGCCAAAAAGGCCTGCTGAAGTGCCCCTTCTTTACAGATGCTGCAGAGCTGGGTTGAACATGCTGCTTCTTCTGGGAAAAGTTTTGGGTTTGGTTTTTTTTTACATCTGCAAGCAGCCTGCAGCCATGGCTCACGAGTATTAAGAACCTGACAGTTTTTTTTGGGTGGGTGCTTGAGCCCCAGAGCTCCCACGGAGTTGGAGCCTATGGTATCCCATCGCTTTCTTCTTCCTGTGTAAGATTCATTAATTTTGGATCACGGGTGTTTTCCCTGAAGAAGTTTACATCTGCAGGCCATGGATACTTGGGGGAAAACGCAGAAATTCCACAGGGGGCATGTCTATGTGAGATGCTTTACTGTGCAGTAATCTAACCTACTGCACAGTAAAGCATCACCATCTATATGCATGCACAATTTACTGAGCAGTAAATTAGTCTACTACACAGTTAGCTAGTACCTATCTGTTACTGCACTTGTGTAGATACTGACCAGGAACAAATTTGCTCCCTGGGGAAGTTATTCGTCCCCCAGGGACCAGAAGCTGGGAGCTGATCAGTGCTGGGAGGGGGTCACTCTCTGCCCCCTTCTGTCCTGGCACTGCACAGCTTCCAGCTCCCCACAGGAGCTGGCAGCCAAGCAGCACTGGGACTGGGGAGCTCTCTGCTTCCCCACTCAGCCGGGGCTTTGTTGTAAGCTGTCCCACTCCTGGGGCAGTTGCTGGCAAGCCCCCTGTTAGGTGGGTCTTCCCTGCTTAGCAGGGAGGTTGGCTGGGAGCTGTTCTGCTTCTGGGGCAGCTGCCAGCAAGCCCTCTGCTGAGCAAGGAAGCCCTGCAGAGCAAGGGGCTGGCCAGGAGCTGTCCCACATCAGTCCTAAACATTTTACCACTTCACAACAGAGCTGTGCACTGTCCTACCTATACCTAACCTATTGTTGTAGTGCAAATGATTCCCACTTTCACTCTTTTGATGAATTCATTTGTCACCAATTGCCAGTCTGCATTATCTACAAATGATCCCATGCTGTTTTCAAACCTCCCCCTTATGAGTTGGGTGGGGGTGGGGAGAGAAGCCCTGAAAATGTCTTATCCCCTGTAAGACTCACCTCTGCAAAGTACACACAATGCGCTGCCAGCGGGCAACAGAGATGTGGGAGAGGAGATGAAATCTCTTGTTTGCTTTCATGCTATTTTCTCTTCGCCCTCTTCTTCCTCTTTCTTTCTCTCACCTAGTCCCTGTGTCTTATTATTACCTAGCCTGTGAGTTCTTAGAGGCATGAACTGTTTTTCTACTGAATGTCTGTGTAGTGACTAGTACAACGAGCACCTGTTTCTCGATTAGTGTCCTCCATTGGTACTGCAATACAAATAAGAAACAATACCAATGCTTGCAACATAGAGTTGCCTGTCAGCATGACTAGTAGTACTTATACAAAGTGATAAGGGCATCATAGCATTTTTCTTAGTAGAGGCTGATGCCAGGATATTTAGACCTACAATTTGAGAGATATTTAGGCAACATTCTGCCTAGCACTACAGGGCCTACATGACTTAAACCAGGGTTGTCAAACTCACTTGGCCTCACAGGCCAGATTCAGACTGCAGGGCTCCTTGTGTGCTGGATGACCCACCTCTGGCAGTGGGGGAAGACATTGGGGTGGTAACCCCTGAGTGCTGGCTTTTCTGACAGTGGGCACATCTACACGTTCATTGATGTGCCTTTGCTACTGCTAGTAGCAGTACCTCTAATATGAAGTTTAGTACCTCTAATATGAAGTATTAAAGGCACAGTAGCTATGGTAATGTGCAGTAAGAAAGGCAAACTTTTTTTGTGATGCTTAATGTGCAGTAGACTAATCTACTGTGCGTTAGTGCCTTAGCATGGTTTTTGCAGTCCACTGTGCATTAAGGCTTTTCGTGTAGACGTGCCCATAGTGACTCTAGCAGCCGCAGGGATTAACAGTGTTGTCCCTTGCCCTACTGTGGCAAAATTGCATCCTCAATGGAGAAATCAATCTAAAAAAGCAATGATGGGGACAGTGGTGGTGGTGTTAGATCCTGCCAGGTGCTGGCTCCATTACTACAGTGGATCTGGCAACGGTGAGAGTTGGTACTGCCAAATGTCCAGCTTTGCAGGCTGGATATGGAGGTGGGTCTTCTGCACCTCAGAAAACCTTGTGGGCAGGATGCCCACTGGCCATTTGTTTGACACCCCTGATTTATAAAAGCCCCATTTTTTAGAAGTGACCTAAGAATTTAGGAACCCATATCCCATTGACTTTTACTAAGTCTTAGGCTCCTAAATTCCTTCCTTCCTTTTAAAAATGAGATTGAGTTGTCTAAATCACTTAGTCGTCACAGCTAGAACACACGCAAAAATACCCAGAAAATATCCCAAGCTGATCATAATCTGAAACCAGGACACTGAGTACCGAGGACCAAGAATGCTGCACCTAGCAAGAGCAACAAGTTCGTTTTTACTGCATTAAGATAAGAAATTCTGGATTTTTTTTTGGTTATATTTGTATTTATATTGCCTCTAATCTACACCGAAAACTCAGTGAACTTGGTTTTGCCCCACCCACTGTAAACACTAGAGCAGGAAGAGGCCATTACTTTGCCTTAACTCATAAGGCTAATTACAGGTGGCAGCTCTCAGTGGGAGGTAAGGCAGTCACATCTTCACTTCAACTGAAAGAAATGGTAGCAGGAACTAGCTTCTTTTTACTCTTTACTAGGTATGAATCCAGGAGGAAAAGGAGTCAGAATTTCATCTGTGCAGAGGCAAATTCTCACCATTTCATCCTTTGCTTACCCAGACAAAGCAGGAGGCCTTGTCTACACTCAGCTGCTTCTGCTGCTATCTCAAGATAGAGGACAGTTGTTATCACCAAACTAACAGAGCAAGTGCACATCTGTGCACTTGGAGCACCTCCGCACAGTTCCACTCAGTTACTAGCCCCCAGAACGTGAAGTACACCCTGAGAGGTACCAGCTGCTGAATGGAGCATAGCAGCTGGTTGAGGTTTCAGGTGACATGCACCTTCTGAATAGCAGAGACCTTACTCCATTCAACAGAGGAGGAATAACTGCCAGCAGAAAAGGGTTTGAGTGCAGACACACACCAAATTTTACTGACAAAACCTTGTAGTCTAGATTGGGCTGATGAAGAAGAGGTAGTGTTTTCTTTATAAGAACCACTTGGCACCCACCTGGGAGGAAATAACGGTGGAATTCCAAATTACAGCTCTGCTGGAACTTACAGCAGAATGAATTTTTCTCTAGTGCTAATAATGAAAATCCATTGAAATATGCAAGTCAGCTCCATTTTGTTATAGCCAGAATGTCATTGCAACTAAGTTCACTACCAGTATAAGCAACTTCTACTGTAAATCTTTCAATAAGACTAAGGCAAATACTTTATATCCCTGTACAAAATAACATGTATACAAGATTTAGTGAACAATCTAAAGAAGTTCATTTTTATCATAAGGCCAGAAAACAAATGTGTCATTTGCTTCTGATAAGCAGAACTCTTAGTTCAAATTTCAAGGTAATCTCTCTTTATTTAATAGGAAATGACTCAGGTCACAGTGCTAAAGTCCCTGCATCAACATTCAACAAGCAAGAACGGTACTTCTGTCTCAGTTACGCTATATTGTAAAATGTGATGACATGTTTATTAAAAATGTGTGCACAATGTATATACCATGTCTTCACTGCAGAGTTAACTCAAGTGTGGGGTACATACAGAGATAAAAGACAATGCTAATAAACCATTATAACTGAATCATCAAACAGACCATTATTGTAATGATTGAGAATTTCCCCAATGGAAAATAATACCCAGATATCACTGGAATGTTGTGTCTGCATCGATGCCCTACCTACTTATGTGCTGCATGAAAACTTCTGGGGAAATAGCTCATGGCTCTTAGTGCTTCAGTAAACTGACATAGTGAGGTCAGAAAGGAAGTGGTTGTGCTATGAAAAACATGTTTTTATTGGTGTTTATGTGTCTCTGTCCTTCATGCCTGAAGAAGGGTGATTGTGCCCAAAAGCTTGCAAAGAACATTTTTTCCAACTCCTGAGCAGCCCATCAGGCAGTTGATAACACAGAGTTTATCACCCGTAACTCAGTGTTTATCAGCCCATTAAGAAGACAAAAAAAACAAAAGCTTCTCCCCATTAGTTAAAGCTCTTCTTAAACAACTTTTTCCAAGGAAGGAAAGGAGGGATGTTAGCTCCCAAAAGCTATGTGGACACAGTCCTGTCTGCCTTTGTCTGGTCTCCCACAGCATGAACAGTAACCAGAATGTGGTATGCTAGTTAATGCTGAGAGGTGTCTGTGAAGGAAGAGGGGAGGGGCGAATAATCCCTGTTTAACAGGGAGTGGTGAGGAAAGGGGGGGAGCAGGGAGAAACCAGGTGGATGATCACTTAAGTGGTTTCTGATCACTTAAACTGGTTTATGTGCAATGTCTGTCCCTAGCCTAGGAGATATACTATATTCAAATAAGACCATGGGTTTGTATTGTGGGCTTTGGCCCTGAAACCGTGCCTTCAGGCCTCTAAAGAAGAATTCCACTGAGCCATGCTATCAGGTTTTGCTCATCTGGAAATATGCTGAGAAGGTGTGTCCCTGATTATCATTATCAATTAACATCAAACAGATCTTTGTTCCAGCACTGAAGGAATACAGTTACTGACAGTGGAAGCCGCAGCTGAATGACTGAATCACCAAACCAGCCTACACAAACTGGTAGGTAGCTTCTGGTCCAGAAGCAAAAAATATTTTGCTCCAGGGAGTTATGGGAATGCATGGGAAGACTGGGAGCAGTTGAGTGACACTATCTCAAAGAGCTCTCAAAACAAACACTGCTTGAACAGTGGCAAAAGCCACTTTTGCCTGCATATTCACTCTGGTATGACAGAAAAGGAAGAAGTGACCAATATCAGTCCACCACTCAGAGCTGTTTGAGCACTAATTCTGTTGATATTAACTTGATGCTAGAGCCTAAAACCGAGACCAAGATAAGAAGCACAGGGTTATAGAAAACGAAAGCAGCAACAGTGAAAAGCAAAGCTGACAAAGTTGGAATGTACCTTTCCCCAGTATTGGCAGCTTTGTATCAGGCACAGTCATTTATAAGATATCATAAAGAACACCTGCTAGTATTTGAGCTGGGAGACAAAAGAGTCTTAAATAAACAATCAAATAACCTATTAATATTGTCTCAGAGTGAGCTTTCAATGTTGTGCCACAGCATACAAATGTGCAGCCTGAGAAGAGCTGAGCAAAGGTCAGCTTTGTGTCTCTGGGGTTCTGGGCTGGTCAAGGATCAAAGCAACCCCTGAGTAATTCAGACAGCTTTGGGGACTGCCCTGACTTGCTCTAACTCTAGATTTTGCATCTGCCCATAGAAACTTTCAGATTCTGGAGCTGGGCAGAATGGCTCCATTGGTGTTTCCTCTACCAGAACTTGAAAAGGAACCTTTTCAGGGCCTTCTCTGACAACACCCCATTGAGAGTGTCAGGGGGAACTATCCCCAGGCTGGCTAAAGGCTTTTACAATCTCTATATGCTATGACAGTAATATACAGGAGAAGGAACAGGATTGTAGGGGAAGGAAAACCTCTCATACAGACTTACGGCCTTATGATCCTTATGATCTGTTTCAAAAAGACCTGTTTCAAAAAAACAGAGCACAGAAATTCATCAGTAACCCATGTGTGAAACCCAGTAAATTGGCTGCTGAACTAGAGGACATTGATTTTTTAGAATGACAAGCTCCAAGTGAATTTACCAAATCCCTTGGTAAAGAAATGGTTAAGTACCACCCCAATGAAAGTATAAAATCCCTTAGAAACACTAACTGCCAAACAAACCAATATGGTATTATTAAACAATTGGGCTAGAGACAGACATTCAAAGAGCCTGAGCCTGAACTGATTCAATCTTTGCAGGTTAACCTGGCTAGGCTGAACCAGTTTGTACCTGTACAGACATCCTGTCTGGACTGAAGAAATGCAGGCACATGCCTGCAATAGCTCAGGCTAGAATCCGGGGAGTGCTAGAGCAGCCTTCCCTTCGCTTCCGCAATGCTGAGCTGAGGGGGAGCATGGCCAGGCCCCAGTAGGCAGGGAGTTGATAACAATATTCAGCACCCCATCAAGAAAACAAAAGTCTCTCTCATTAGTTCAAGCTCTTCTTAAACAACTTTTTCCAGGGAAGAAATGGAGGCACATTATTTGTTGATTAGCTCCAAAAAGCCATAAGCAGACACTGTCCTGTCTACTTTTGTCCTATATGCCTTACACAGACACCTCTCAGCATTAGCTAGCATACCACATGTTGGCTACGGTCTGTGATGTGGGAGATGGGGATCCCTGCTTGAGCAGGGAAGGGTGGGGTGGGGAAGAAATGGGGCAGGGGAAAACCAGGCAGACCCTGCTGTGTCTGCCATCTCTGCTGGGGCTCCAGCCAGGGAGCAGAGGGGAGGGGCCAGCCCAGGTCTCTGGAGCAGAGAGCCCTGCCCAGGGCTGCAAAGCATTTGGGATGCTAGGGGACTCTGTTTTAAATTAAACCAGGAAGGGGTCTGGGACAGACATTGCATAAACTGGTTTGACCCAAATAAGTTAAGTCTGATACTACACTCAACCATGTTTATCTCAAACCAGTTTCAGTCATTTTCAAACCGGTTTATGTGCACTGAACCTACGTTCTGATACAGGTTTAAACCAGTTTCTGATCACTTACATCGGTTTATGCGTAATGTCTGTCCCTAGCCATGAAGTTTTGATTATGGATTTATTGTGCCCCGTCAAATATTAGCTGATACACTCGTCAGGACAGAAATTATGGGGCCAGATTTTCAGAAGTATTTATGCCGACAGGCACAAATAGGCAGCCATTGGGATTTTCAAAATACCTGTGCAGGTTAGGCACCTCTCATTGACAGGAATGAAATTTAGGCAAGAGGGAATTTTGAGAACTCTACAAGAACTTACCTGAATCTTTGAATGCCTGAAGTCATTTGAAAGACTGACCCTAGGGCCGGGTCTACATGAGCAGGGACATGCCTTTACAGTGCACAAATAGTAGTGGCACAAATTTATGGTGCTGCTTTGTGCCCCACTGCATGCCCTTGCCTGTGTGCTTTGCAGCAGGACACATGTCCCACTGCTCCAAGTATTGCAGGGGGGGCTGGGGGGGGGGGGGGGCAGGAGCTAGTCATCCTCTGTGCTGAGGCGTCCTGTGCCCCAGCCAGGCAAGAAGTGGCATGTGGAGATGGGGGAGTAAGCAGCCCAGGGCTGCCTGATCCTCCAGCTCTGCACATTGTGGAGCCCCCATACTGAGGTACCCTGTACCCCAGCCAGTTGCTCCCCACCTGGCTATGATACAGTGTGCCTCGAGATGGGGAGGAGGTAGCCTTGGGCTGGTTTCTCCCTTGTCTCCGTGTACCTCAGTGTGCACTGAGGCACGTGGAGCCCCTGCGCTGAGGCACACTGGGGCATGGACCCAGGGCTTCCTGCTCCCTGATGTCTGGGTTTGTCCCAGCATTCGCCACTTCAATGTGGTTTGTACCGCTTTCTTTCCAGGTTGGGTTTGGGTTTTTTTTGATGCTAGGAAAGCCCAATAGCTAATTTTGCCCCGGTGCTGCAAATTAGCTGTGCCGAGCACCGATTAATGTGCAACTCATGTGGTCTGTGGCACTGTAAAGAGATCTGCAGCAGCACAAGCCACATGTGTGTGAACATCTGGATCCAGCTTAGGTGTCTACATGCCTCTTCAGTCTCTTAAATACCTTTAAAAATCTGCCCCAAGCCAATAGTTATTGCCAGTTGAGAGAAGACGGAGCCATGGTAAAAGAATACAGCTGAACTTTTGTGGGGGAAGGAATCAAATTGCCATGATGCTTAGAATTTTTGTTGACTTTAAGCAATTTTTAATGAGCATTTATGTTATTGATGGGCAAACTGGACCTTTTCACAAAGAAAGAGCCATAAAAAATGGTATGGCCATTAAGTGGCGTGTTATGAACCCTGGAAAAGATTACTATATAGTGAATAAAAAGGATATAACCTGTAGAAAATGATCTTTGCCTCAACTTTTTTAACAGGGCAACAGGAAAAGCAAAGGCTTTTTCTTGAAGAATGTAACAATGCTACAAAGCAATGGCCAACACTTGACCCCCACTGATGGTCAGTGTTCAAACCTAAACCCTAATGCATAAACTCCTTCAGCAGTTCAATATGCAACAAGGTTTTCAGAGATTACACTGGCAAAGAAAGGTTACAGGAAGTACTTGTTTTCCCTCTTTAGGCACTGTTATGATTATAAATTAATCCCAAGGGATATTATAGCTACTTCAAAGAGTTAATGAGTATCTTATAACTGCTTGCTTCTCTTAATTGTCCAAAGGCCAACGGATCCTTGAGTGTATAAAACACTGAAGAATGCAGATAGGAAGCAAAGCTGAGAGAGCAAGACAGGACAAGCAAGTGCATCAGAGGCTATCAGACACCACTAGGGCCTCGTATAATGGGGAAGATACCGAAAAGCATTTTTTCCATCTTTCGTATTCTTGTTCTTCTAATTGGCTTCTCCATTATTTGTTTGGGAGCCATTTGCATTTCCACAACCTCCTCATTATGCAAATGTGGCAACAATATGCTTGTTGCTTATACTCTGCTGCCCTTGGGGTTCTTTCTCCTTGTGACTGGAATCTTTTGGAGCACATACCATGAAACCAGCAAGCACAAGAACTTTTTCTACAACATTATCCAGAGAACTCCCTCCCACAGAGAAATACACATCCACACCATAGACAGGTATGTATTGCAATGTACATGGATTTTGCTTTTGCATTTGCATTCTGCAGTTGCATTTTCTCGAATGAAATATAGACCACTGTAATAAAGAAAAGGCATTGTGGCTAGTATAGGATGTTTTATTCTACTTGTAGAAACAGAAGGATATCTTGAACCTTCACTTGCAGCAGGTTGCAATGAGAGTAGGAACAGTTTGGGTGATACAAAACAGTTCCCAGGACATACTGCTGAAAAAATTATTCTAAATGATTACAGTAACTTGTCCAAGTTCATTTCTGGAGTAAAGAGGGACAGCTCCACTGACTTCACTGGAGTTACATGAGAAGCACATTTCACCCATTTGTATATTAATAATAGATAGCTCAAAGCCAGCTGCTGTACCAGTGTTTCTGTCCTGTTTCTCACCAGTATTTCTCAGGAAAGCCAATGCACTAGAACGTGTAGTTCCCTACATGGTCTATGCTTGAGGTTTCTGGGTAAATGTCCCTGCTATTTCTAAATGAAGTCTGATGCTTTAAGATGGACAGTTTCTTAAACTGGTTGGCCCTAGGCCTGGCAAAGTTTATAATAGGGTGATTGGATACAAATGACTCTTTTTAGTCTGTTGTGGTAACAGCACCATAACAACTGACAATAGGTGCTGTAGCAGCTCTATAAATACAATGCAGAGAAAATCTTGGTTAGATAACCAGTACAATACAGACAGCACTTTACAAAAATGTGCGG